GTAGCGAAATAGCGAAATAGTTCGCTACATTTTTTAAGTAGTAGCTGTAGTCAGTAGCGAACTACCTTTGTTCAAAAGTAGCAGTAGTTGTAGCTGACTACATATTTTTGAAGTAGCTGTAGTTATAGCGAACTACAAAAATTTTGTAGTCAACCCATCCTTGCTAACAGGGTCTTAAATTCTAGGTTTTTATATGCGGGGTTTTACTCTGTCAGCTGCCGATCAAACAATCAGTAAGTTTAGAATTTTAGGGGCAGATGCACCTAACCCCAATGGCAGAAAGTGTTACAGTAACACTTTCTGCCATTGGAGTTATGGTACATCTGTCCTTAAAATTCTAAACTTACCTACTGTTTGATCGGCAGCTGACAGAGCAAAAGCCCGCATATAAGAGAACCTAGAATTTAAGAACCTGATAGGCTAAAACTTTTTATGTAGACCCCTTTACATAAGAACCTGTTTAGGTTAGAATTTCAAAGCAGGTTCTTATTTTATGAGCCAGAACCCTGGAAATGTCATTGAGATAAATAACAACAACAAGTAAATGTATTTTTTCAGTGAAAACATGACAATCTCAACTACTAGTGACTGTGAGCAATGTTTTTCAGTAGCATACTAGCATCATGGACTATTAGATAATTTGTGCATAATTTATATAAATTATATACCACACCCACCAAAAATGAGTCGCAACTTGGAAAAATCTAGGTTCTTATACGCGGTGTTTAACTGTATGCATGATTGCGGGTATTCCCTTTATTCTCGCAGGGCAATTAAAAACTAATACACCTCATTATATTCATTTTTTCTAATCCTACCTGTTTTTACGTCATGTCAGGTAGGATTAGTTCTAATCCTACCTGATACAACGTCAAAGCGGGTACGATTAGAAAAAAATGAATATAAATGAAGATATCTGAAATCGCCAAAACTAAACAAAGATATGGAAAACAATTATATCATTTAATTTCATTATTTATTGTTAATTGGTTTTTAATGGCCCTGCGAGAACAAAGGGAATACCCGCAATCATGATATTATAAGGTAATAGCATAAAAAGAAGCGAATTGGCTATTGAAAATGTCCCGCCCGATGAGGGTCGTTTAGTAAAATTCCTTTGGGCGCCGCTCGATTCGGGTCATTTAGTAAATTCCCTCAATTTTACTTAATGACCCTCATCGGGCGGGACATTTTAATAGCTAATCCTCTTTTTATGCTATTACTTATAATTAGACTGTAACTATAGGCTCTATGGCGGGAAAATTGTAGCTAATATTTGTAATGTTCTGTAGCTCCATCTTCAGACAACATATTTCAAGTTTCCTTCGTTCTTTCCAACACGACGTGGAACGATACTTACTCTAACTCCAGTCATCCCGATCACGAGGCCTTGAAAGACCTCATCTTGGCAGAGGTAAGCTTTATGCCTTTGAAGTAAGTGCAGCCCCGTTTAATTTCTGAGGTCGTTAGTCCGACCCTGGTTGATCCAGTGTTCATACAAAAGGAGATCTTAACTAAACTAGCTTTACCTATATAACTCTATCAGTTCTAGGAGGAAACCTAAACTAAACTAACTTTATTTATACTGGATAGCTCTATCAGTTCTAAACTGTTTTCCTCAAAGGTCCAGTAAGGATCATCTACTACAGGAGGAAACCTAAACTAAACTAACTTTATTTATACTGGATAGCTCTATCAGTTCTAAACTGTTTTCCCCAGAGGTCCAGTAAGAGTCATCCCTGATCTTCAATACTTACAGTATATTGTACTGAAATCTTCAAATATTAAAGTAACAATGATTCTTAGATAAATGGTTCGCAGTACCTAGGAATTACTCAATTTACTTGCAATGTAGTTTGTCAGGAATAACACATTATACTTTTTCTCCTCCGTTTCAGCTCAGCAAAGTATATCAGGGAGACGCGACGCTCAAAAATATTGTTCTGGATAAATTTGAACCAAGTGGAGAAAATGTTAAAGCCGTTCTCAAGATGACATTCGATAGCTCTAATAACAATCCTGGCGCCAAGCTGAAAGACAGCTTCAGTAATGGAAAATTGGGAAGTATTGGCGTTGATAAGGACAGTCTCTCCTGGATTAATTCATATAGTAAGCCATTGATTCATGTATTTCTGAACTAATAAAATATATGATTGGTTAGGGGATATAAGATGGCACAAAGACCTAAAGTAACTTTATTTATACTGGATTGCTCTAGCAGTTGTAAACTGTTCTCTCTAGAGGTCCAGTAAGGGTCATCTCTTATTGATCCAGTGTTACTACAGAAGGAGACCTAAAGTATCTTTATTTATACTGGATAGCTCTATCAGTTCTAAACTGTGCTCTCTAGAGGATTGTTACAACTAGTTCACAAGCTTGCTACAAGGTTGTTGAGCTCAACAGACTTGTTACAAGTTGTTTTAACAGCTTGTTATCGTCCTGCAATTCAACAATTTGTCAACAAGTTGTGAGTGACAACCTTGTAGCAACTTAATAAAATAACAGCATTGTTACAACTTGTTGACAACTTGCTACAAGGTTGTTGAGCTCAACAGACTTGTTACAAGTTGTTTTAACAACTTGTTATCGTCCTGCAATTCAACAATTTGTCAACAAGTTGGGAGTGACAACCTTGTAGCAACTTGATAAAATCACAGCATTGTTACAACTTGTTGACAAGCTTGCTACAAAGTAGATGAACTCAACAGACTTGTTACAAGTTGTGAGATTTTTGCGTGTGTAAAGTTCACTTTTTATTTCTTTAATTTTTAGCTCCATCAGAATCGGAATCAGAAGAAGACACAGAACTGGTCGTTGGTACGGTCTTCGGGGTTTTCTTCGGCCTCGGTTCAATCTTACTTGGCGTCGCTTGGTTGAAGAACCGTCAGTCTCGTCGAAAGGTTGGTTCGTCACACACCTCAGTAAATGAGGACCCCTCTGCCCAGCCTGAAGGTGTGGAGGAAACTCCGGCGTGAATAAATGTTCCCTGTGCGATTTTTGCTGCGTTTTTTTAGCACTAGCTATGTGTAAAATACACGTATATTGAAACAACCTCGTAACCAGGCTCTTACCTTCGCACGCCCTCCCGCTGGGTGTTGAATAGCTCCATGATTATTTAATGTTTTGCAAAGAGTTTTACGATTTAAAAAACGAGCAGGAATGCTTTATCAGGTATAAAACGCTAGAAGACAGCCGAGTGTTTTATATGCGATAAAGCTCGAATTGCGAATGAAAGATCATTAATAATTCATAAGCTTATTGGCAAATCATGTCAACCATAGTATGTCACGTGAAGAGGCTTTATACCTGATAAAACTCATCTTCATTAGTATTCTTTATATAAAAGTCCATCCTAATTAATTTTCCTTATATAAAGAATACTAATGAGACGGCATCTATTGTAGTCGTGTTTGAAGCTATTCAGAACACTTGTAATCGTGTTTTATATTATATTTCTCAAATTCATTAATAATTCAGGAGGAAAACACAAAGAAAAATCATAAGCGTGTCTTGGTTTTATATGTGATAAAAAATCATGTTAATTTACATAAACTTTAGCTTTGATTTTCTCGGTTTAGACAAAGTTTATTTTAAAAATTACTTCGCCAATGAACTCGTATAAGATGAGTCGTTTTTGAAGCCATTTAAAGCACTTGTAGTCGTGTTTTATCACATATAAAACACTCCTACGCGTGTTTTAAATAGTACTTAAAATGCTCGTGCTGCGCACTCGCATTTTAAATATGATAAAATACTCCTACGCGTGTTTTAAATAGTACTTAAAAACGACCCAATGTATAAGTTCATTGGCGAAGTAATTTTAAGAATCAACTTTGTCTAAGCCGAGAAAATCAATGTTTCTGTAAATGAACATGAGTTTTTATTACATATAAAACCACCAACACTGTACTGATTTTCTTTGTCTTTCCTCAGGAATTATTAATGATTAAGCATAAAAAAAGTACAGCAAAAATCGATAGTCTATACTATATCCTTGAGCAGGACACACTTTCCAATGTAACGAAATCTATAATGGATTGATTCATTGACAAAATACCATTGAAGTAAATCTTAAAGCGGCTTCGTATATTAAACATAGTTATTGATACGGTGAATATTAATGTATATGGAGAATAAACATTTATAAATACTAAATATTGTATTAATACAATCATTATTGTATAAAAAATATTGTAAAATATAAATCTTTATTGTATAAAAAATTAAGATTGCAGATAAAGGTTTAAAATCATGTTTAATTTTGATTCATAAACTTGTAAATAAATCATTTATAAATGTAAATGTAGGCTTCCGCATTTATATGGACGCTTTTATACTATACCCACGCAAAAACGCACAAGTTGTTATAGGTCTGTTCACAAGCTGTCGACAAGTTGTGTTCGCACTGCTTGTTCCCAGTTGTTGGAACAAGTTTAGAACAAGCTGTTAACAACTTGGAACAAGCTTGATGGCATTATCACACTTGTTACAAAGTCGTTCTAACAAGTCTGATACAGTCATGATATAACAAGAATGTTATAAGGTTGACGACGCAAGGTTGTAACAATATTGTTATATCAAGACTGTATCGGACTTGTTGGAACAAACTTACAACAAGTCTGATAATATTGACAAGTTGTTGACAGTTTGTTCCAATGACAACCACAATTTCTTTATCGAACTAAACTATTAACCGTCCAGTTTTTACACTTAAAATAAAACAAAGTTTAAATTAATGTTGTAACTATTCTATAACATGTGTATATAGTTTGTATATTAAACATTATTTTACGATTTAAAAGGAGAATCTTTTGTATGCTACGTAACACGCGCTCAAAACTAATTATTATACTTTTCCACTTGTTTATGATTATCTTCAATTTATTATTTTTCGATACGTTTTTCAAGCGGCGAACAACTTAAAAAGTATATTTATTGCTTTATCTGTAAAATTATGTAAAAATGAAGAGATGTTAGATGGTACGCCAAAGAGAGCATGATGTCTGAAGTTCAATTTTGTTTATATTGCTGTATAAATATGGCGTCAATTTTACAGCGTCAATGATAATTGTATGTTTTTGTTAATATGGCAATATTTTGAGGTGATAAATATTTTACCACTGGTGTGAGGCAAATTTTTACAACAAATATAGAGATATTAAATTTGAAATGTATCCTGTGAATTCGTTAGTTTTTAATAAAGACCTATAGCAAGATAAAACTAGAGCTTTTAATTGAAGCAATGTTTGCATGTTAAAACGTACTTTACATTAAAAACTACAAAGCTATAATTGCATGTGTATTAGAGACGGTCGATGTGCAGGTGCTAATATTACGCCACAGTTTCGTAATTTATTTTGCGGTTTTGACGGATACGTGATGTATTAATACGTGATTGTTACGACGCGCAATGCAATGCCGGACTGCAATAGACCTTTCCCCTTGTGAGTGAAATTTTGATCTAGATATGCCTGGACAAAAATTTCATCACAGCTTGAAAGAGCATCACAAAATTAGTAATATTCCGAAGTTTCGTTGAGAAAATGTTGTAAAATGCAGATAATGTAGCCTTGCGAAGTTTGCCACTTTTCAGTCATTTTATTACAAATGGGAAATTGATAATCAGATGATCAAACTGATTATCAATTTCTCATTTGTAATGCAAAATGCCTGAAAAACGGCAAACTTCGCAAGGCTATATTATCCGCATTTTACGACATTTCGCAACAAAACTTGGGAATATTACTAATTTTGTGATGCTATTTCAAGTTGTGATGAAATTTTTGTCCAGACTTGTCTAGATCAAAATTTCACTCAAAGGGGGAAAGGTCTATTGCACGGAACAGCCTTCTTTCAGATTTCTATATACCTAGCTAACTGGCTACAATCTTAGACAAAACCCTTGAGATCATTCCAGCCAATATTACAAAGTTATTGAACATTGACAAAACAAACTTTGTCTCTTCCTCCCCCCCCCCCAGTCCCCAGAGGATCTAGATGGGGGGGGTCTGGAAATCAGTAAACGGTAAAAATTTTGGTATTTTAACGGTAACAATAAGTAACATTTTGGTATTTTAACGGTAAATCTTTCAAAAGTGTTCTGAAACGATAAACAGTATTTTTTCCTCACGATTCACGCTAAATATTTAGTGTTTTCACGACTGATGGTAACCGAAATTGAGTGAATCACGACTCAAGATATACCCCATCAACACCCTCTACAAACAATGCCGAAACAATTTTTGGTAATATACCATGACATGCACAGGCTCAACATTGAGTTGGGGGAGCGAGGAGGCTCAAGAAGGGCAGCATGATTTTTATGTGGGGGGAAAATGGTCTCAACCAGCTATATATCCAAGATTGTACCTACATGCCTAACTATAACTAATTTGTGTGCATATAGTCTAAAGTGAGGACAGCAATGCAGAACAAAACGTATACACCTATTTGCAAAACAACTTTGTTTTTGCAATAATCCAACGTAATACATCCTTAGTTACATTGGTTGCTAATCTTCAATTTGAATGGTCGGATTAAACTTAATTACACGACTATGTAATGCACTCCGCGCACTGTAATTAAAATTCGCCAAATCACCTTTTTCGCTACAAATTTTGTTTTAATTTCCCAACTGCATAACATCAGCTCTTATTGGTCGACAGCTTTTGGTTGTAGAAACCAACTAGGCAACATTGTAATAATAATGCATATTTCAATTCTTCCCACAGATCATATGCAGCTGAGCCTGTACGAAGGCTATATAGGTCCTGCTGAACACATCATCTTGAATTTAAAGCAGGTATTCGCTTTGGACTTCGCATTTTGGCGAGATGAAACTATACGTTGCTTTACTCGTTCTGTTTACAGGTAGGCTTTTTACTTGGTACCGTCTTTGTTAAATATAGGATTGTTTTGCCTTTGTGTAACACACCGCTATATTTGTTTGGGAAACGTTTCGATCCTTCTAAACCCGAATTTCTATTAGGACAGTTTAGTTTACCGAATCTTAGTAAAGTTGTGCCCGTTTTCTCGACAAATTGAACCGATTTAAACTATTATTTTTGACAAGTGTATTCACTTGTTTGTATGACAAAATTAAACTTAAATCGTCTTGTTTAAAAGCTGTAGTCATGACAGTTTTTTGAAGAACTTTGAAAACTTATTGGGCTAACAAGTGAAGATTGGTCAGTTTTCTATATGATAGAGAATTGCGCTTTAAGAGAAAACTGAACTTGTCAAGGAAAACTTATTAAGGAAAATTTGTCACGAAAAGTTGTTAATCGTACGGCTGTAACCGCAGACACAAGCCAAGTTGTCAGGGAAACTTGTTCGTTTGTATCGAGTTATATTTAGCATAAATGAACTGAAGAAAATTTGGTACATTTTATATCCATTTTATACATTTTATAGTTTCAGCTTCATTGCAAGTAGAATGTCAACTATATATAATTATATTCTCCGGCCTGATATCAGATACTTAATTTAATGCTTCTGTATTTCGTCTGTCAAGCGTGAAATTTTGATTTAGTTCATTTACCGGTTCGCTTGAGGTTTTAACCGCCCGAAAAATTATAAAAATACAAAAGCGTTTGTGTTCTACGCGCTTAAAATGTCCAAGTGTTTTATATTTTTCAAGTACTAAAATTCTTCAATTCGTTCATCGCCCGGCTCATGCAAATTCAGATGAATAATGAGTAAATTTATTTTTATATAGGTTCCATTATACAGACTAACGCAAGCGAAAAGAAAGGTATTATATACAAACAATATAGAATAAATGAATTCCGCTTTACAAGCGTCCACTATTTTGATCTAATATTTGTTCAGAACTTATAAGTAGAAAATTTTAACATCAATTCAAGGCTCTCGCACCCCCGTTGGGAGTTTTCTTCTAACTCCATAGCAACCATGTAGATATCTCAAACGTTGCCCATATATTTTACTTAAAATACCTGACAAGTCAGTCAAAACACTTCATTGCTGTTTTGAAAAACATTGTATGGAATTTATCATTCATTTGATAAATTTTCAAACGTTTGCTTTGGCGCGAGTAAAATAATCTGGCTTTCCCCCAACCTCGTCCCCAGGGCCTATTGAGGAAGGAGGCGAAGCAGCAAAGGCCCTGGTAAAGGCTGGTCACGTGATGCTTCAAATTTTGAATATTTCAGAATATTTAACTTTTCAAACCGGGGGTGCGGGCCGCTTTCGTTTTATC